ATGTTTGGGGATGTGGATTGACGAGTTGGGTAGTGCTGTTCCTTGGGACGATGAACAAGCAGCTCACGGTCTGCAAGTACAACTCGCAAGGCCAGATTCTCGGTGGTCAGACTGGGTGCTATAACCTTGTTCCCGTGTTTGATTGGGTCAAGCGCTGCATCGTCTCTATCTTTTCTGCGTTCTTTATTGCTTTCTTGCCGCTGTTCTTGCAGGGTAAGTTGGATACCTAAGAATCTGTGGATGTTGTTAACGCTTTTTGGGCAGAGCTTACCGACCGCGGAGCCGGACATGCGATTATGCGACTTGGGCGCCATTTCTTATCTCTATCCCCAGTATTCGAAGTTTTCTCGACGCAGATCTACTCCCAGGCTTTGCTGAGCAACTTGACCTTTGGTGGAGCGCGCTACATTGCTACCGGACGCGGTTTCGCGACGACTCGAATCTCGTTCAGCATCCTGTACTCGCGTTTCGCCGGGCCCAGCATCTACCTCGGAATGCGCAGTTTGCTTATGCTCCTTTACGCGACTATGGCTATCTGGATTCCGCACTTGATTTATTTCTGGATCTCGATTCTTGCGCTGTGCACCGCGCCGTTCGTATTCAACCCCCACCAGTTCTCGTTTGGCGATTTCATCATCGATTATCGCGAATTCCTTCGTTGGATGTCGCGCGGAAACTCGCGCTCGCACTCGAACTCTTGGATCGGGTACTGCCGTTTGTCGCGTACGCAGATCACTGGTTACAAGAAGAAGAAACTGGGTCACCCGTCCGAGAAACTGTCGAGCGACGTACCGCGCGCTGGATGGCGCACCATCTTGCTCGGCGAAATCCTGTTCCCGAGCTCGATGGCTGTGATGCTCACGATCGCATACATGTTCGTCAAGAGCTTCCCCGATGAGAACGGCAACGCTCCTGCGAGCCCGCTTGTCCGCATTGCGGTGATTGCTCTAGGCCCGATTGTATGGAATAGCGTCGTACTGCTGACACTGTTCTTTGTGTCGCTGTTCTTGGGACCGGTGATGAAGAACACGTGCGTCAAATTTGGTGCGACGGTTGCGTTTGTTGCGCATATATTGAGTGTGGTTGGCATGGTTGGGTTCTTTGAGTTTTTGGTATGTGGGTTCATAGGCGTTGCTTTACTTTTGACTGATGAGGGCTGCAGTGGTTCCTTGAGCTCTGGGACGCCTCACACGCCGTTCTTGGCTTGATCGCCGTGATCTTTATCCAACGCGCCGTGCACAAGATTCTCATCTCACTCTTCCTTACCCGCGAATTCAAGCACGACGAGACCAACAGGGCGTGGTGGACGGGTACCTGGTACGGCCGTGGCCTCGGCACACACGCCATGTCCCAGCCCGCTCGTGAATTTATCGTCAAGACCATTGAGCTTTCGTTGTGGAGCGGCGATTTTGTGCTCTGCCACTTTTTACTCCTACTACTCGTGCCGTGGACTTTGGTTCCGTTTGCGGATCGTCTGCATGCGACCATGCTCTGTGAGTTCTTTGGGTTGGTTCGAATAGGACATATGCTGACCGGTTCAATTGTAGTCTGGCTCCGCCCATCGAAGCAGATCCGGGCGCCGTTGTATTCGATGAAACAGAAACGTCAACGACGCAAGATTGTACGTGACTTGCGTCCAAGAATCGTAGGCGTAGGCTGATTGTTTTCACAGATTATCAAGTACGGTCTCGTGTTTTTCCTCGCCGCCGCTATACTTGTCGGCCTCGTCGCTGGACGTAAGTGATCCCACCTTTTATTGTCGATTGGTACTAACTCGCTTGTATTTGCAGCCGCCATGTTTAGAGAGCATATCGTTTTCAACTGCACATTCTGCACTTCGATCTAGAATACACTGTCCTATTGCATCTGTTTTCTCGTTTTCCGTTTAGTTGTCTTAAACATAGTATATATACCAGCGTTTGCACTCGGACAGTCTGTGTGAACCAAGCTCGAGCCTTGGTCAAGGTGAGTTATTTTGGGAAATGCTTGGTTGTACGTCGCTGGAATGACTGGGCCGGCAACATTCGGCACCCTGGTTGTACCTGCTCACACGCAGGAAGAGACCTCCCACGTCGAGTTCAGTCCATTGGGCGTTGTCCTTGTGCAGTTGTAGGGGGTCCCGCTAACTGTCCGGTCGCTCCCGTGGCACGTAGCGGGTTTCGCCTTGTGTCGGCCAAATTTGCCCGACACCGGCAAATGGCTTGCACCCCATTCGAGCGTTCGGTCTTGGCGGCTTGTTTGCCTCGCGTAAGCGCCGATCCGTTCGGACATCTCACCGACGAACACAATATCCGCACCGACCCCGCAACGGTACGGCCCAACCACGACACCCGTCCGCATTACCACTTCCCCCATTGGCCGGGTGCTAGGAACACCGATTTGTAAGGACTGAATGGGCGCGACCGTCGCACCGCCCAGGCCAGGTCGGGGTTACGTGGGGGTTGGTATAAGAGGGGCGACCGGAGGTGAGCAAGTCTCTCACACCTCTTGTGTTTTATTCTCACTTTCACACAACCCTCTCATCTTACCCACTACCACTACTACGACGATGTACCACGTCGACGCTCGTACCATTGACACCGATCTGCAGGCGCGGATCGACTACTTGGTCAAGTTTATCGAGTTTGGACCTGATGACGCTGCTGCACTCCATGCTGCTGCTCCCATCGTCAAAGGACTCACAAACGGGGCTGTAGACGCAGTGTGTGAGTCGACTTGGCTCATTTTATCACATGTTGGTACTAATGTGACTCTTTCTTCTGTAGACGAAAAATTGTTTTCGTTTGATATCACACGCGCTTCGTTCATGTCCCGGAATAGCGGGTTTGAAGGAAAAGTGGCAGAACGGCTAGAAGATGTAACTCATAATTCTGAGCAGATCAAGTTTAGGTGCGTCTACCGTGCTCGTCGATGAACGCATATTTACATATGTGTGTGATATAGGAAGGATTTCTTAAAAGTTTGGGTCGCCAAGGTGTTTTCGGCAGATTACACCGACCCCAAGACATTCGAGTATTTGGACAAGGTTGGAGTTATGCATACGGGCCAGGCGGGGTTCAAGCATCGTGAAAAGAAATCGCCGTTGCATGTTGATTGTGAGTGATTTCTACTCATTTCGAGCTCAAACTCTAATACCGTGTGAATTCTGTTCTTCAGACATCCACTGCGCAATCGTACGTCGCAAGCTACCCCATTTGTCTTCTCTTACCTACTCGATCTCACCAGCTCCTCGGATACGTACAAAGCATGCTCACATCAGCCGTAATGGCCCAAGACCTACCAGACGAAACCAAAACGGCCGTCATGGTAGCAATAAACAAAGTCCTCTGGATCCAAAACGACCTGTTCGCACGACACTATATCCCGAGCTCGAGCAGCAGTGCTCCTACCGCCGCCGTAGTACCAAAATTAGCCGTGGATGCCAAGTCGGTCGTTATTTCTGGTTTGGCAGTCGCGTTGGTTTACACGTTGTTCGGGAGGTCTTGAGGTGGGATCGGGATTGTGATTGTGATAATGGACGGTATGAGATATGTGTGGTTTGATGTTATTATCTTGTGGATGTAATACAGTTTGGTGGTTTGTCGTTTCGGGGTGGTTTACAATAAGCGCATCGTCTAGAATTCGTAACAAGAGCTACATTCAGGCAAGTCAAGACGGCTCGCGGAACGAATCGCCAAGGCTGGACCCTGACCTCGCCGGCTGTATAGTGTAGTGGTTTATCACTCGGGATTTTGACAACATCTTCCCGTAACCTGGGTTCGAGCCCCAGTACGGCCTTGTATGCGCCGTCTTCCGGTATAAAACTTTTGGTGGTGTGTGTTTTGTTCGGGTACAGGTACACCTACAAAGTTCCGTGACCGTTTACCCAGCCCCTCCTCGCTAAAATGTGAGTATATGCGCGGGAATACAACACGCCAAAACATTGTTATACGAAAATGAGATGTAAAATGAGCGAGGCTTGGTATATTTCGTACGACGGACAAGACATGAACGGAGTAGAGTGAATAAGAGATACCGGAGGCGGAAGAAAGATCGGGTGGACGAGGGCCGCGACCAAGCGAGGGCATAAACACTGAAAGGGAAACCGCAGAAATTAGGTAGGGTGCGGCTAACTTGGACATTGCTAGCGTGCGATAAGCGGGCAAGACGTGGTGGGCAATGATGAAGCGGTACAGTGGTTGGGCATGGTAGCGATGCCGATGCGAGCAAGTAGCGTGGCGTCATGGTTGCATTTGGGCAAATACCCGAAGTGTGCAGCACACCTCAGCAATCTAAAACAAGGCGGGGCCACTTCGGCGACTAACAACACACGCAAGATCTGAACCCAGTCAAGATGGCCGGCTAGTTCCAAACGATGGCTTCCCAGCCTAAACCGGATGAGATGGTGAGGCGGGCAAGGAATGACGACACAAGATCCCAGGTGCAGAATTTGAGTTTAACCTGCATAGCTAGTGCCTGGATGATCGTGCGTATGCGGGGTTGCAGGACGAGATCGGCTGCGACTGTCGATGCTGGTACCTATGAAGTCACAGCCCACGAATGGGAAGCCAGGTAGAAGTATTTCGCGGAGACAGCCTCGTTGGGCACGGGGACGCACAATGCCCAAAGCGTAGGTCGCGGTTGCT